ACAAGGATGATGCGGCACTGTCTGCCAAAGAGACACCAACAGCCATCGAGGAGGAGCCAGCGGAAGAGAAACGCAAGATTAGCTACTTTGAGGGATATGTGGAGGGTGTCGATAGTGGATTCAGCGAAGATTCAGCCAATGCTGTTGCCATCAAAGCAACTGATACTCGAAAGGCTACAGGCAAAGCCAGCGATTCTCAAAATATGGGAAACACGACAAACACGGCGGACGAGACCTCTATTCAGGCAGCTGAGCTCAGGCAGCTGGCAAACGAAGCAGTCGATATGACAGCGATCGCTCAAGCAGATAATGCAGCAACCTGTGCGGCGGCTTCGCCCGAGGCAGATATTGCACCAATGACACCTGCGCCGTACAAGCCGTCCATCCCATCAGCACCAAACCAAACGCCAGCATCACCAAACACCAAGCCTGGCTCGCCACCTCAGACACTGCCACAGACGATGCCCCTCGGCGATCCGAAGGAGCTGCAAATTAGTGCCACCAATGCGAATATCGCGCAGGCCGATTCAGAGGAGATGACTAGGGATGATCCCCATGTGGATCAAATAAGTATCGAAGTGCCAGATGCATTGGGTCAGCGATTGAATGATATGGCCATTGCTTCCATGCATTTGTCCTTTGAAATGGATATGACAAATGTGCGCGATGCCATACTAAACGGTGAACTGGCCCACAAGCCTGAGCCCACACTAGGCAGGGATGCCATGGTTTTTCTGGAAACCAAGGTAGAGGCCGATCCCGAGAATGCACCGCAGAACACAGTGCCACTGCGGTTCAATGCTTTGATCAAGGGCATGGTTCAGATCGATGCCGACAAACTGGATCCAAGCCATTTGAGCGATGAGCAATTGCCGGAATATAATGATACGGTTACCTCAATTGCCGCAAGCATCTGCAGTACGGCACTGCAGCGTGGATTTGCATCTGAAGCTGTCGAACAGCAAGAGCAACCACAGCCGGCAGATCAACTAGAACAACAACAGCCACTAGATCAACTAGAGCAACAACAGCCACTAGATCAACAAGAACTACAACTACAACAAAATCAGCAACAGCCGCTGCAGCAGCAGCAGCAGCAGCAGATGCCCGTAAGTACAGACGAGTCCAAGGAGATAGTTGCACCCATGCATGCTGGGGGCCAGATAGCGACCAATGCTGGTCGCAAGGCATTGGAACGTAGCCAGGAGATGAAACGCATGAAGCAACAACATAGTGTGCCAACAATGAGTGCTGTGGCGGAGCCCGTCATTGATGATCAAGCAGCGGTCGCTAGTCCGCAGTTAAAGGATGGCTGCAAGCATCCCATTATAAAGAAAAAGAAGAAATGCCCTAAGAAATGCCCGCTGCTCGATGACCCCTGCAAGGATGACAAATGCAAGCGTCCGCAGCCAAAAACGCCAGAAAAGAAGGCAGAGAGCACGACTGAAATCACAGCTAGTGCTGGCAAAAAGGATCCATGTGGCAAGAAAGGGGCTGGTAAAGGAGGTAAGGACGACAAAAAAAAAGATCCCTGCGCTAAGTTCAAAAAGGGAGGCGATAAAGGTGGTGACAAAAAGGGAGGTAAAGATGATAAGAAGGGATGCGGTGGCAAAAAGGACGGAAAAGGAGGGGCCGGCGACAAAAAGGACCCTTGCGCCAAATTCAAGAAAGGTGCCAAAGGAGGCGACAAAGGTGGGGATAAGAAAAAGGACCCTTGCGCCAAAAAGGGAGCAGCAGGTGGAAAAGATAAGAAAAAGGATCCTTGCGCCAAAAAGGGAGGAGCTGGCGGAAAGGATAAAAAAGATCCTTGCGGCAAGAAAGGAGCAGCAGGCGGCGACAAGAAGAAAGATCCTTGCGCCAAGAAGGGAGGAGCAGGTGCCGACAAGAAGAAAGATCCTTGCGCCAAGAAAGGAGGAGCGGGTGGCAAGGATAAAAAAGATCCTTGCGCCGTATTCAAGAAGAACGCCAAGGGTGGTGACAAGAAAAAGGACCCTTGCAAAAAGGGCGGTGATAAAAAGGACGCAAAGGGAGGCAAAGGCGGTGGTAAAGGCGACAAAAAGGACCCCTGTGCCAAATTCAAGAAGGGTAGCGGCGGCAAAGGCAATGGAAAGGATAAGAAAGATCCCTGCAAGAAGAAGTACTCAACGTACACTAGTCCCGTTTCCAAGTTTTATCATCCTAATGGCTCCCATTTTTACTTCACCCGCAATCCCAAACGCTTCTTATCATCCCTCCAATTGAATGGCCCAAAAACTGTTGCCAAGAAGAGCGCCTCCGAAATCTTATTAAAACTGCGACCCTGCTTTAAGACCTACACTACCCGAGTGCGTCGCAGCTACCTCAGCAGGCAAGCAAAGCTTTCCAACTGCTCTCTAAGCAAACAGCCGAACACCTCTTCAATTACACCTGCCAAGTTTCGTGTGTACTCGACTCTAGTGCGTCGTCATTACGATGGAATGCCCTCGCCAGCACAGATGACTGCTTGGGGTATTACGTCGAAGAGTGCGCGAAACCAGATTCAGCGCGGATACAGCAAAAAATCCAAAAAGAAGAAGGCTGCGGATGGCAAGTGTAATGCACTGCAAAGTAAAGGCGGGCCAAGGGATCGCAAGCATATTAAGGCGCGCACGAGTCTACGCACCGATTGCTATGATCCATATGAAGAAGGATGTCCTGTAAATCGCTGCTCTGGTGTTTGTGACACGGTCAAAGTGCCGCGCAAGAAATGTGATAGGGGACAGAAACCACCAAAGCCGAAAATGCCCAAAAAACCGAAGAAGAAACTCCCCGCCATTTGCATGGTCGGTAAAAAGAGCAAAGACAAAAAGGGCAAAGGTGCGTACGACTAAATATGTATGTATATTCATTTAGAATCCGCCATAACTAACACTGCTCTATAATTGTGTCCTAAGGTAGAAAGAAATAAACTTCTAGCCGCGGGCCAAGTATTCCATAATCAAATGCGTATGATTTCCACAAGGCGATACATGAGCCTGGCTCAACACTCTCCGATTACTAAGGAAGAGCCCGGCGAGGATGATTTGTCCACAATGGAGGTGATACGCATACTTGCACCATATCAGATAAGTAGAGAGCGCCAACCACAGCCGGATGTCAGACCTTTTGGTAAGTTGGACCAGCCTCACTAATTCACAAGCCACTCTGTCAACCCGTCCAATAGATGTGCTCATTGACATCGGCTCTGTAGCGCTTACTGGCTCAGACATACATGTTTATGAGAATGCGAATAAGAGTATGGAAGGAATGACCTTGGGACATGATGCCACTGGCTTTGTGGAGAAGGTTGGTAGCTGTGTCAAGCATTTGCATGTGGGTGATCGTGTTGTCGTTGAATCGGCCTTGTCCTGTGGAATTTGTGATTACTGCAAACGCGGCTTGTATAACATCTGTGCCGATCTAATGTATAACGGCTTCTTGGCCACACATCAAACGCATCCAGCAGACCTTTGCCATCGTTTGCCAGACTCCACCAGCTTGGAGGAGGGCACCCTGACCCAAACTTTGGCGATGGGCTGTCAGGCCTGTTTCAAAGCCCAAGTATCGCCCACAAGCAATATACTAATCATTGGGTCAACCCCCACGGCTGTGGCGGCTGCACTATGCGCCAGAGCGATTGGCGCTCGGAAGGTAACCATTGCTGGGAGCATGCGCTCGTCGCTGAAAATGATTGACTGTGATTTTGGCTTCAAGACCATCTATTTTGACTCGAACGCACTATTCGGAGAGGTGCTCGAGGATGTGTATAGCAAATTCCAGGAGTGGCCCAACTGCGCCATCAACTGCGCCATCTCGCCGATGACCATGAACCTGGCCGTTATGGCATTACAACCATGCAGCGCATGCATCCTGACAGAATGCGAGTCAGAATGTGCCAGCTTCAATGCTCTAGACATACTAATGAAAAACATACGACTTATACCAAGTTTTCGCTCTGCCAATATGTAAGCGCACAATATATGTACATGCATATATATTGATCATTCACACAATTTATCCTTAATGCTGCCTGCACAGGTACCCAACCGCATTACAACTAATTAAATCTGGTCGCGCACCGATGCACAAATTCATTGCAAGAACCTTCTCATGGAGCATGTTAGAGGAAGCGTTTAAGAGTGCACAACACGAGTCAAACATTGGCTTACGCAAAATAATCGTTAATAATACAGAAGAGATTAACATTGGGGGACTGTTCAAAAAAAAATTAAAATATCACTATTAAAGATCAAATTTGAGTAGATAAATTTTTTTGTTCGAGTATCCTTTGCTGTATAAAAAGAAGGCTTTGTAATTAAAAAAAAAAATTAAAGAATTATTTTTTTTAAAATAGAATTTGCTTTGAAACAATGTTTTTTTAATTTATGCATGTTTTCAAAATACACATTTTAACATTTTTGTTTGTTTCTCAGCATCTATGAATCTCTCTCATTATAGACTATTTAACGACCTTCGCTCGTCAGTTTATACATGTATAAAAATTATTGTACTTCGCTGCTTACAACAAACTATTTTACAAATTTACATACACAAGAACTAAATATTGAGTCGTGCATTTAAATTGTATGCTAAGGAAGGAATCGAATGTACACACGAACAAATATATAAAACGTAAATTAATCATAAGAATCAAACATAACATAAACGTAACATAATCATTAGCATCATACTGCACTTAGTTCACTGCAAGCTTCAGAAACATATGTGCTCGCATGTGGATATTGAGTATAAATAATAAATAAAGTTTGTTCTCTTTTTAGAGCTAACAACTAATCAATATGCAAAGATATGTATTTAGGTATGTACGAGTGCAACTGTGTGTGAGTGACTAATTCTGGATTGCATCTGGTTTCAATCTCTCAGTTGTTAACATGTAATTCTTGTTCCCTTTTGGTTTTGGTTGCATTTTTTGTTCAACTACTTGCGCGTGTAAATCAAAAAGCAGTTGAATTTGGCTAGATCAAAACGCTTACGCTATAAAGTAAGTTATGATAACAAATATATATATATAATTATAGTATAGAATCGTCAGTTTCAAAAAAGTAGCTAATCTCGACGCTGCGGCCAAGCATTCATTTATGAAGGTAGTTTGTCTTTTGGTGTTTTTTCATTTCTTCACATTACATTCATTAAACTTGTTTGCAAAAAGTAATATTCGCAAATTTGCTGTACCCGGCTCAATTTCTAATTATCATGAATTTGCATTTCCAGCTCGACATCCGAGAGATTTATTTCGCGCATCGAATTGATATACATGTAGCGCGATGTGTAGATATATAGCCAACGGAACCATTTCATTTGAGACCGATGCTCCATCATAGCGCTTCTGACCACTGATGCCTCTTTCCAGCTGAGTACACACCTGTAAAGCAAGATATATTAGAATATATGTCATTGCAAACCGTAACGCAATACATACCAATGCGTGGACATGAAGCATGTGCACAGAAAATCGAAGACGGATAAATATTTTCGCACTAAATTTATCGAGTCTAGCGTATAAAACTTACAGGCTGATATAAAAAAAATATATATACGAATTTATTAAAAATTATCGCAACTATAATTAGAAAACGTAACGCTGACAAAAACAGCAACATCAACAAACGCAGCTACAATTAACATGACAATTAACATGTGCAATGCGGTCTGTAGACTGTTTTGTTTCTATTGCTGGCGCTGCCAGCCAACCCGTGACTCACCCTTAGGCAATAAATTGGCTAAACACAAAGAGGCGGCCGCATAATACACAGCACAATGATTGGGATGCGAGCTGACCCCATCGCGATCGAAGGTGAATATCGCTTTTATATCAAGACTCTCAACGGTATGCAATATAAAGCTGGCAACCGCATCCGGTCGCCATTCAACATTCGGATCATCTGGCAAATTGGTGGCGTTCACCAATATAACATTCGATTCAGCAATGCCAAGACGTTTACAGGCCCGAAATAGCTCCTCTCGACGCGACTGCGCCTGTTGCTCGTAGTTGCCTAAATTGAGTACCGTTAATTAACTTTTATTACAGTTAAGGGATGTGGACTGTTGTTAATTGCTTACCATTCGACAGGCATAACACGTACACCTGACAGCCATCACGCTGCGTCAGCGAGTAGATCAGCGGACCAAAAAACATGCATTCGTCATCCGGGTGTGCGATGACCAAAAGTACTCGACCCATTAACGCAGCATTGGGCAGATGAACGCTACGTAATCGTAGACCTCTTTGTAGGGTATTTCGCAACCCTTTCGCTGTGTTGTCTCCGGTGCCATCGTGCTGTTGCAGATGATTCTCCTGCTGGTTCTGATTTGCGCCTGTCACGCCTGACACCGACAGCCATAGGGTCAACTTGTATAGGCCTAGGCATACTAGAAAGTATACCGCACATGCAATCAGTATATGCTCCAGTGCTTCGGCCGATGTGGACTTGATGCGGCAATAGATAGCTTGAGGGGTGAACTGTTCCAGGCGTACTTCGGCGAATGGGAGTGTAATAGTCTTGTATATTCGACTAGCGTTTATAATGTTGGCCAAGTATTCCCTTAGCCAGTTCAATTTCATTTCATTGCGTTTGTTGCTTTGTGCTGATTTTCGTTTGGCAAAATTCTTCACCAAAAATGGACATAAATTTAACAAAAGTATTTCTGTCGATTCAGTTGACTTGCGGTTAAAATAATTTGATAATACTAGACTAAAATATGAACACAGAAAATAATCCAACTTATTGTGTAATTTAATACTTTAAACGGCTCCGTAATCTACGCGGCAGCACTAAAAAATCGCATTTTATTTCTGCGCTGCGTGTTTTTTGACGGGGGCAACAACTAGGGATGTGCGCGTGAAGTGCCAGTACGCTGATATCGTGCTTATTTATGCGCGTACATGCGACAACAATACGACTGATCTGATTATTATGTGTCACGAGCTCGTTGAAATTGAACAGAGATGTGTCATTTATCAATTAGTTTTTACGAGGGCTTCGGCCTGTTGGTACAAATAAAAGTTTTCGATAATGCACTAGCGGCATGACTGCGAAAAGTCGGGTATCGTTGATCCATTTCACGATGAAACTTTTTCGAGATGAGCGCGAAACAGCTGTGCACAATCGACTAAAAGGATTATGAGTCTAGTATTTTGGCTTGAACAAATTATATCTGTATTTATTTGAACGGTTGCTATTCTATTTACACAGGCACAGAGAATCTTCATACCAACTCAGTTCAACGCAAATCGCAAACAGTCTTTTTAGGACAAATTAATAAAAATACTACGATGGGAATTTGTTCAATCGCTTCAAATTGCTCATACCAAAAAGTTCCCGATAGTCCACATGTATAATACAAGCTCGTGTTGGAGTGCTATTGCTGTTAAACGACTTTTCGTAATTGTGCCGCGAATAGTTTTGCAGCTTTAGTTTCTATTTGCATATATGTACCAAAATGCAATACAATTACGTTGAGACCGCAAGTAAAGTAAAATCAAGTGATAAAACACAACTCCAGTTCATATAAGCTTTCTTTACCAACCGACGGTAGATACAACGAAAATTTAACAACGGTGTAATCTTATTGTCATCCCCAGCTGTCTTGTCGCAGCTGATCAATGTGTTTTCGATAGGCGATAGTCCGAAGATAAAAAGTTCACAACACAAATATATCGCTTCTCACGCACCTCTAGTGCCGAATTTATGAAGAGGCAGCAAAGTTTTTTTATTCAACAAAAATTAATAGTTAATAATTTGTACAATTGTTTCATCGTCTGTATTTTGTATACCTTAACCTGCTGTAAGAATACCCATTAGAGTGGTTTGTCTTCTGCCCAACACAGCGGACATCGCAACATACCGGGTTTAATTCAAGCGGCGTTTGGAAGATAAAAAATCAAAGCAAGCGTGTTGCTTGAGGCTCGCTGTAATTAGGTTAAAAGTGGCAACGATTGGCAGTAGCAGCAGAAGCATCAGCAACGTGAGGCGCGTGTGTCGTTGGTTAGAGTGAGCCGCCTGCAAATCAACCATGGCACACCAACAGCAGGCCATGGATACGGCGCTGTTCGAACGTCGACTGCGACCGGTCTACGGTAAGTCCAGTTAATGTATATACACCGTTAATATATATTATAGTTTCCTTTATGTCAATTCATAGACAATCTTGAAGTGGGTAACAACCGCAAAGCGCTACAGGAATCAGAAAAATTGCTACGCAAACATCCAAATTTACTTTGCGCACGTGCTCTCAAGGTAAATGCAATTGCGAAATGAAAAGATTTTCATTTAAACTGATAAATAAATTCTTGATTTTTCTACATATTTATAGGGCTTATCACTTCTACGTCTAGGACGCTATGAAGAGAGCCATAGTTGCCTGCAATCCGTAGCCGAAGAAAAGCCTGTGGACGATTCCACATTGCAGGTGCTCTCTTTCTGCTATCGTGAAATGGAACAACGTAAGAGGGTGATACAGTCAAAGAGACAGATACAGAGACACATAGCTATAGACCATGGCGACCGTTTCATATTTATAAGTATATTTCTTGGCACGCGCCCACGGTCGAGCGCGGTCGAGCAATTAAAATTGCCTGCGCACTCGCTTTCATTTGCACAGAAATTAGCTCCTCCACTTAGGTACTGGCGGGGTATTAAGCTGAACGTGGGGTAGGGAATGTGCGACTGTAGCGCGTGCCAAAAAATCAAACAGATTTTTAGCATGTATGTGTGCATTGAACGCACTCTACCCATAAGTTGTGTAAAACGGTGCTATGCAAACAGACAAGCGCACCATCCACCTGTCCGTTTGTAGAAACCTGTCAATCATTATCAGCTAAAAAAGTTGTTTTTCATTTTATTATGCTGCTGGTACATTTACCGGGCTGGCCCTTCGCATTATTAAGCCGATGAACTAAAATTAATTTCCTTGATATTGTAGTGGACAAAATAGTTGAGCTCTATCAGCACGCTGTCAAACTGAATCCAGGCAACGAGGAACTGCTGGCACATTTATTTGTATCTCATGTGCGCGTTGAGGACTACAAGGCACAGCAGGCTGTTGCCCTTCAGCTGTACAAGGCACAGCCAAAGAATGCCTATTACTTTTGGTCCGTGATCAGCGTGGTATTTCAAGGCATTCGTGGTCCCGAATCCTGCATACCTGAGAAACGTAACCTTTATCTGGCATTAGCGCAGCGAATGGTTGACAAGCACATCAAAGAGGGCAAGCTCGAGACAGAACAGGAGGCATTCCTCTATTTGCACATATTAAAGTTGCAAAACAAGTACCAGGACGCCTGGGAGTTTCTAACCGGCGAATTGTGCGCTAAATTATATCCTGGTGCACCCGTTAGCATGAAATTTGAGTTGCTCAAGAAGCTGGGCAATTGGCTGGAACTAAATAAGCTGCTGCAAGAGCTTCTCGATGCCGAGTAAGTGCTAATTGTGACATTTGATGTCTATAAATATAAAATATGAAATCTTCATTAGTCGAGATCGCTGGGATTACTATAAGGAGTATCTGCAAAGCTGTTTCGAACTACTAAAGCAGCAACCGGCGGAGCAGCAGGAGCCAGCATACTCGCTGAAAGCTTGTCATGACTTTCTGTTGCAGATAATTAAGTCGTCGACGCGCAAGACGCGTGGTCCTTATTTGGCGCGCCTAGAGCTGCATCAGCGCATGCGTGCCCATCAGCTGCCTGCTGAGGAGCTAGTCGGTGACTTTGACGAGCTGGTCATTGAGTATTTTCACCTGTTTGGCGATAAGTCTTGCTGCACCCACGATATAGCATTGTTTCTACCCTCAATAAGTATGGAGCAACGACAATCTTTAGCCAGTAAACTGCTCGCGGAAAGCGGCATTAGCTCAAGCTCCTTACCGCAGAACGTTAGTAATATTACTGGATTTTTCTAATTCATTTTAATTCATTCATGTTTGATTGCAGAAGGAACACATGCAGAAGCATATTTGTGCTCTGCAAATTTCTCGCATGTGCGGCGCTCACATTGAGCTGTCCACAGATCATATGATTGCCTTTTATACGGCACTTAAGCTACACTATGAACATGGGCACAGTACGTTTGGCAAGGAACTGCTGTCTACGGAAATGGGACCCTCGGATCCGTATGCACTTCTTGCTGCAAATGTAATGTACGATGTGTCAAAGCGGGAGAGTAAATCGGATTATTTATTTGAGGCGCTTTGCCTGCTGCAATATGTGCTACGTAACAGCACTAGCAATTTTCATGTGAAACTGCTCAGCTTGAAAATCTATCACATGTTTGGGTGTATGGTCGGTGCTCAGGAAATGTATGACTATTTGGACATCAAACAAATTCAGCTGGACTCAATGGGTTATGTGCACTGTAATCTTTTGCCCCTTTCCGGTCGCTTTTCGGGCGTTCGTAATTGCTACGATACCACATTGAAGTTCTTCACAAATAGCTATAAGGAGCGTTTGGAATATATTTCGTTAACTTATCGCTTCTGCACATTCTCGAAGATGGAGGAATTTATGAACTTTAAGGAACGCCTGACAAATAGTTTAATGTATGTGGCCTGCTCGGTGGAGGCGCAACTGTGCGATATAGTTTGCTTTTATGGAAGCATTCAACAAAATCTGTCAGCCTATGTGGCAATGAGCATAGAACCCGCCGACGATCGTATTTCGTGGAACGAGCTAAGTGATAATCGAGACTTACAGGCTATTATTCGCTGGGATCCCTTGCATGTAGATGATACGGAAGCTGAGCGGAAGGAATCATTTGAGCAGGAGATTGAGGTGCTGCAAATTCGCTCACTACTTCTTCGCTTATTCGCCTCATTCATTGACCTTTATCATGCACCACAAGGTGCCAAAGTGGCCATGTCAAATGATAAGACGAGAACTCCAACACCAGGCGACGACATAGCTACAGTGGAGCTATTACGCACATCATGGACAGGCCTGTTCCAGCGTCTTCGGCTGATGAACTATAAACCGCTATCGCAAAATTTTCTAGTCAATTTGCTGCCGACGCGTCTTCATTTACTGCTCAAGCTGCCTTATGAGAGTTTCTTCGATGACTTAGCGCAGCTGGTGCTGGATTTGTACAGCGGAGCATCGCAACTGGCACTGCAGTGCAAAAAGGTTAGCGAGAATGTGGTTTCTGTTATGGAGCTGTGCGTGCAGACAATAACGGAGAGCAATGAGTGGAATGGCATGGATGGCCTATGGAAGCGTCGCGAGCACCAGCAAAAGGTCGCGGCCAGCTTGGAGGTAAGCACATTCGCTAATTTACTATCAAATAGCTTATCTCAAGTTTTATATAAACTTGCAGATCCTTTCACTTTATGCCTTCCTATTATCGGTGCTGAATGACAAGCTGCAATGCAGTGCAAAGACAAAAGCAAAAAAAAAAACATCGGGTGATAACAAAACACAGGAGCCGATTAGTGAGAAAGAGCGTAGTCAAATGCTCCAAGAGCTGATGCGTCAATTGAAGCATAAATTGGAGGCCTGTGATGCAGCCATACGTAAGTTGACGAATGTTCATTGCAACATAACATATCGAACTGAAAAACATTTTTCTGCAGGCATATGGAAACCGCCTACTCTGCCGCGTGAACTTAGCTCATTCATGGCCGATATGTCACTGAAACCGGAAGTGGAGGCCACGTTAATTGGCGACGTTTCCGCCACATTTAAGGAGTCCCATGAACTGATGATCACCGAGTTGCGCAATCTGCTAAAAGACAAAATACGCATGGTTGGCAAATAGGTTTCACAAACAACTGACTTTGCTGTGCAAAGTCTTCGTTTTCTTCCCAACTGCTATAAATCATTTCAATCATCTGATACAGTCCAACCCAGTTTGTTATTTAATATTTTAAAGAAGACAATTTATATATGCCCCGTTCGCTAATCCTAGCTCCACTCTGTCACCTTCTTACAATCACCAATCAAATTAGATTCTTGTGCACATTTTTGAATTACATAATTACAATTTTCGGCATTTTTGTACAACAGGTAAGATGTTGTAATCTTGTAACGTTCCTGGCTAACAAGGAGACCGAGAGCGCTACATAGGTTGAAATAAATGAAGATTAAATCATGTAAATTTACATCCTTTTAAATACGACTAACATAAACATATTCTGATGCCCCAAAGAGGAGGGCACTTATTTAGTATAGTCCAATATATTCACAACCAATGAGTCGGAATATAGCTTCTACTACTATTCATACTAATCACTGTAAGAGAAATATTTTAGGGCTTTTCATCTTCGCTCTAAAATACTTTCCAGCTTTTCAATTTTTTTTTTTAATTTGCACACTTCTAAATCCTCTCAGCCATTTTCTGCAGCTACATTGGTGATGGCTTTGAGAGTTTGTAAATAGGCCGCGGCACGGGGATCGTTGATATGCTGCTGTGTCTGTAAGTGGGCAACCAGATTGTGATTGCGTGCAAAGCTTTTGTTACATAGTCTGCACAGATGTGGCTTCTCTCCGGTATGCGTTTTGTAGTGCACCTTGAGCACATTGGCATATGTGAAAGACTTTCCACACAAGTCGCATGAATAGGGTCGTTCATTGCGATGGGTGCTATAAGTAAAGTAGAACTTTAGATGACACATATATATTCAGCATGGTCACCTACCGTTCATGCTTGACCAAAGACGTACGATCCGTGAAGCTGCGCTGACAGTATTCGCAGCTATAAGGTCGGGCGCCTGTGTGCTGGCGTATATGGCGCATTAGCTGGTAGTTTACGTGAAAAGACTTTTTGCAGACTCTTACCAGAAATAAATATGGCTTTTAATAAAGCATTTGCGTTAAAGGTTTCATGTACATCAACTCACTCGCATTCATATGGTCGGTCATTGTTGTGTCGTCGCATGTGCGTGTCCAGCGTGCTCTTGCGTGGATAGCTATTACCACAAACGTTACACACATGTGATTTGGATGCAGCAACATGCGTGGTTACCACATCTTCAGTTGGCACCAGTATGATATTTGTTTCATCTTGAGCAGCAGGAGGTTCCACAATTATTTCATCAGTGCACCAAACACCTTCTTCCAGTACCTCAACTTCAACATCCTCGTATGTCTGTGTGGATGGTGTTTCTATCACCTGGTGCACTGCGTCCACCACTCTCACGTCTTTCCAAATGTATTCACGCAGGAAACTATCTGAGTGGCGGCAAATCTGTCGAAATTTGTGTGCCAGCGTTAAAAAAGCGCGACATTTCAAGCAGATGCGAGATGGTAGCTCAGGAGTGCGCACTATCTAAAAATTGGAACTCAATAAATCTTTTTTGTAGTAATTGTATCAAAGGGAAGAATTACTTGTATGCCACTGCAAATTTCAATTTTCTCGCAAATGGATAGTCCGCGTTGTCCCTCGTCTCGCTCATAAATGGATACCATATGTGTATCACTATCCTGTAAGCAAACTCGACATACGGCTTCAATGTCCATTAACAAATCATTTCCTGCCATAATATGATATCAATGTGATTTCACTTGACTGTATGGTGTTATTGTTTTGAAATGCATCATATGCATTTGTTGTATCACAACATAAAAATTATCGTCATCGGTAGCTAAATATCGAGCCATGCGCAAAAAATATTCGATTCTGTAAGAATACCAATTTCAGATAGTTTTTTATTTATATTGCTTATTTTTAAGCTCTTATATTTCCTAGGCGAATGTATTAATATAATTTTTAAGTAGCACTCACTCTGATGTAATGAAAATTATTTTTATACTATTTTCTTTGACTCCGTTGGAAAATCATTGCTGTACGATATTGCAAAAATTATGAATGTCGATAACATAAAGGTATTTATCGATATACTGCTATGAATACAACAGCCCTAATTGACCACAATACTTCTGTTGAACAACATGGACTACACGGAGCCTCTTTGTAGGATTTGTTTGCTACATCCAAAAGCTGAGACGCTTATGGCTACGGAATCGAATTTTGTTGCACAAATTAAACAATGCACAGGCGTGCTGGTGAGCAGTGAAATTCAGTTATAGTCAAAGAGCCAATTGCAATAGGTTTGTCTTATATTGCAGCTAACACAAGATGATCGCATGCCAAATAAAATATGCACAAGCTGTGCCCTGCTACTTCGAGCAGCTTTGAAGCTGCGTAGCATGTGTCAGCAGGCAGAGGAGCAACTGCAAAAGGTGAAACACGAACAGGAACAACAGCAGCTGCAGTTGGACAGTGGGAACGAAACACCATCGGACTTTATCGATTCATACGAGGTGACACTAGAAACAGCCAGTATTGCAGGCAGCCAGGACAGTACAGAAGTGATCACAATAAAGCCTGCGACACCAGCACGGGCCAATATAAAAGCACACAGGCCAACCCGCCGTAATCGCACTATCGCTGGGATGCCACCTACATGTTACCCAGAGGCTTCCAAACCTCTGGGCGTCACTTATGTGTGTAATATCTGCAACAATGTATACACAGAGAAAGTGAAGTTAACAACACATTTAAAACTACACAGTGTGCACAAACCGCATGAGTGCGAGTAAGCTAAATAGTTTTAATGTTTAAATTGAAACTTTTAATTTCAATTTAATATTGTAGAATCTGCCAAAAGCGTTTCCGTCAGACGCCACAGCTGGCCCGGCATATGAACTCGCACACTGGCCTACGTCCATACAAATGCGATTACTGTGACGCTTCGTTTGCAGATCCTTCCACACGTATTAAGCACCAACGGTAATGCGCAACCTTTTAAATCACTTTATACACGTTCTATAATTGTTTTTCTTTAGCATCCACACTAATGAACGACCTTATAAGTGTAAATACTGCCCAAAGTCCTTTGCCTACTCCAATGTGTTGAATGTCCATCTCAAAACTCATACAGGAGAGCGACCTTTCAGCTGTCAATACTGTGCTCGACGATTTTCCCAGGCACACCATAAAAACACACATGAACGTTCGCACAGATCGAACAAAGAATTGGACATTGCAGTGATTACAATGGAAGAGGAGTAATTTCCATTACGGCTAAAGTTTAAGCATGCACTTTTTAGTACAACGGTAAAATAAGAATATAAGTAATGTTTATAATACAGTCAATAAATATATAAATTATAATACCATCTTTCTCTCTCAAGGGTTATCGTCGCAAACTAGTTAAAATTTTCCAAATCAACATTTCAAATATCATGAAAAACGTTTTATAATTGATGTTACAATAATAGTTTGGCTTTGTTTTCGTTTTGGGCCCAATCATCCCGGCTCCAATTAAGGAGCACAAGTAAAAAAATTAGCACACAACTTATTAAATAATAATTAATAAAATATAAGTTTACAATCATGATTTATACAAGGCCTAAGCCGATGGCAATATGCCAATCACCATCTCGGACACGTTATCTTTAATGCGTTCTTGCGCCTCCAAGTCCAACTCAACAGGTTTCCAGGGTCCACGTTTCTCGTGCGTCACACGATGCAATCGCATTTTATAGGCTTTGACAAATCCTTTGCCACACAGATCACAACTGCAAGAACAAAAAAATTGTTAGTTACGATTTTATTTTGATTGCTGAACTAAAACTTACACGTGCGGCTTTTCACCTGTATGTATCATCTTGTGAAATTTCAAATTGTCCGAATATGTAAATGTTTTAAAGCAGACATCGCATTCATATGGGCGCTCCTTTGTATGTATGCTGTGGCATATACATAAATACTAATTTATATTATTTTTAAAATAGTTTCCAGAGTACTTACCGATGATGTTTTGTCTTTGTGGAACGATCAGCGAAGGCCGCTGGGCAGAAATCGCACTTGTAAGGTCGATTGCCAGTATGTGTGTTCATATGTCGCACCAGTTGCTGGTTCTGGACGAATCCACGACCACAGATCCTGCACAGTAAATGAAGGATTATTAATTACGTTCTTCGTCCTTATGGCATGGACCAAACCTACTCGCACTCGTGCGGCTTGACTCCGCTGTGGAATTTCATATGCTCGGTGAGGCGCGCCTGTGAAGGATAAATGTTCCCACAAACATCGCAAATATAATTGGAATGTTTGTCGCGCGGTTTGCGTCCCATTTTCTTCTCCTCCTGCACAGCGTCTAAAGAGCCTGCCGAAGTCTTCGGTCGCAGTTGCACTTTCCGCGGCTGTCGCACACGATTTAGCAGACGTGGTTCCGCCTTAGTATCGGGCACATCACGTTCATCGTCGGAGCTTAAAATATCACGCTTCATATCATCATCGGCCACGTCGGCCCACACAATGCGCTGAGTGGCTACTTTTGTTTGTATTTCAGTGCTACTTGGGGGCAGCGATTCGGTGGCCAGAACTTCCAGTTCCTCATAATCTGCGAAGTTTTCGACTTCAGTTTCCGTCTCGATTTCTGCTTCTGCTACTTCAACAACTGTTGCGTCATCATATACAACCGCATTCTGTTCTTCCTCAGTGTTGGTGGCATCATAAACAATGGTATCCTCATCCCCGTCGCCCTCAGCGTCGACTGCTGAAACTACATAATTTATGAATTCACCGCTCGCTTCTTCAACTTCGCCCTCGATTTTGATTTGTGTCTGCTCCTCCCAAGCATTCGCTATGGCCTCATCTTCCTCGTAATCGTTGCCTCCACTGGTGTCCAATTCCGTGGAAAGCATATCCGCGATATGTTGATGCGACCGCTGACAAGTCAGACGGAATTTGTAAGCTATGCGCAGTACTCGTACACATTTGCTGCACATCTTGTCTGGAAAGTTGTCATCGATGCTGACCTGCAATGCAATACAAGTTGTGTTTATAAGAGTGCTGGAGCTATTATTTGATTATTATTGCACGTACAGGGATTCCAGCACAGATGTGGAGCATTTGATCAAGGCGGGTGCTGGCATTTTGACTGAATATGTCCACCAATAGATCTTCGCCGTCGTTGGGATTGCTCAGGCACACCCGACATACAATCCATTTTTCATTTAATTCAGTTTTCATAACTTCTGTTTTTAATTGTTGCAAAACATACAAATTATAAATAAATATTGTATTTTGGCCAAATTATGATAATAATGCAAGCGTCCCTTGCTATGCTTGTCATTCACTTTCGAACGCGTACACTACCTATAGTATTTAGTATTTTAAAATTTAAATTGAGCATATACTATTTTAAGCCATTGAATTCAGCTTTTTATTTTAATGATACCATTAAAATATCAGTTAAAAATAAATATATATACTTTTTAAAAATAAATATTTAATAAAATGTGTATTTACTTAATATAAGTACAGAAAAATACCACATGCATGATTGCTACGGTCACCTTAATAACTGACATTCACACAACAGCGGGAACAGCTTGGATTTTTGCCTTTAATATATTTTTAACATTTTTTTTTTGGCGTCGTCTGGAAGTAATTGGATAATTTGTGCATTCCTTGAGGTAGTATAATTTTTAATGATGCCAACGACAACGACTGCAACAACACAAAAGTGGATAGTATGCCGAGTGTGCTTGCAGCAACCAAAAGAAGCGATGGGCAGCATTTTCAATGACGACGCATCCAAAGATTTGACGAACATGATACTAGAATGCGGCGGCGTACCAGTAAGATTGAATAAAAAACGAAACTTTGAACAAATAATTTCAATGAGTGGAATTTTGAAAATGATTTGAATTGTTTTCAGATAAAGAAATTCGATCACTATCCGGACAAGATATGTGAAAAGTGCTTAAAAAATTTACACATTGCATATAAGTTTCGACGAGTTTGCCAGCGGTCTTACAAACATCTAAGGCAATTCATAGCGCCTGTTGTAGTGGAACAGTCGGTCGAAGAAGATGGTAATGGGCTCAGTGCTAGCCATGAGCCTTCGGGGATAGAGCTGAATGAGGGACAGGTGCTGGCAGGCAATGAGGAGATCAACGATGACCACGTGGAGGTAAAGGAAAGGCTGGTTCATGTAAAAAGCGAACAGGTGGAGGAGGATGGCATTATAGAAGAGCTATATGATGTATATGAGGCATACGACGGTGATTTAGTCACTGAACAGCCGGCCTACGAGGAGGGTAATGCTGAAGAAGGTGATGAGGATGTGGGCACACAGTCAATATCTGGTCTGTCGGCCGATATAGAGTATCTGGAGCAACTGGATCAGGATCAGGATCAGTTAACAGAAAGCGCACATGAGGATGAAATAGAGGTTCAAAACTCGTCTGACGAGGAGTTTCTGCCAGTGAAATCACGTACGATGTCGACACGCTCCTCCACTGCCGGTATAAAACGACGTGCAAACCCGCGAAAAGCCGCATCTAGCAAAGCGGCATTAGGGAATATAAAACGTGAGAAATGTAGCGTGACCACAACCAACATCATATTGAATCCTGACGAGAGCATAACCTTTGGGGAGACAATTGTGCGCAAGGCAACAGGCATTAAGACCAAAGGTGGGCACAAGATTCTTGTGGGCGATAAAAAGGAATTTAAATACATATGCGATATTTGTGGAAATATGTATCCATCGCAGAGTCGCCTCACCGAGCACATCAAAGTGCATTCTGGCGTCAAGCCACACGAATGCGAGTGAGTATCACAAAAACTAGCTTTCGTTTTGATATATCAATATACATATATACATTTGCTTCTAGAATCTGCGGTCATTGCTTTGCCCAGGCCCAGCAGCTGGCACGACACATGAACACGCACACGGGCAATCGGCCCTACAAGTGCACCTATTGCCCGGCCGCCTTTGCGGATCTCTCTACACGTAACAAGCATCATCGGTAAGTATCGTTTTACCAAATATACACATGTACATATATGAAAAT